ATGTTATAGCTTTCCATAGCAGTCTTCCTACACTGAGCTTCTAAGAACTGACATACTAATGCAGAAAGATATTGTCTAGCTCACAGTTGCACTCCACTTCTTTTCAAACATTTTCTTGAAAACAGAGGACAGAAATGAACACCCTCATTCTGCTCATCTATGCCTTTATCATCAAGTTTGCTTGCTGCATTGGTCTCTGAATGAAAGGACAGAAAAAGCAGGAACTGCAGCAGTTTGTAACACTCTGCAGGCAGCATCAGTTTAACTTATATTGAGTAGCTGACGCTGAAGGTTTTTCCAACAAACAGTCATCAAGGGATGATCCAGTCCTGACACCTGCATGAAGCCATTTGAGACTCAGCTCGGTTGTCCCACATATAGGTGTCCAGTGCTGCTCGAGGTGTCTCAGGTGAAGTGAGAAATCCCATAGCAGGTGACACAGGACCTATGGAAGACTTGAGACCCTCTGGAGTGGCAGCTGGGAAATATCAAAGGTCTCTAGATACCACTAATGGGAAACTCAATTGAGTCTTCAGTGTCTATAAAGTACAATACTAGTTTCCGTTAGTTGTAAAGTGCAGAGATAACCTTATTTCTTAACGGGTGTGGTCTGTGTATGATGACAGGCTGTTCTGATCCCTCCTAATTGTTTTAGCATTTGATTGCAATACATGTGCTCTTCTTTCAATAGCAGACCTTAGATTGCTCTAAACAAGTTAATTATATTTCACAACACCCTTGTGCATTAGAGATTTATTAATTTTCCCATTTTGCAGTCAAGGAAAATGCGAGGAAAAGAAAGGGTAAGTGGCTCACTGAAGGTTAAACAGTAAGTCAGTGGCAAAATCTGAAGAGGAACTTCAGACTCTCAAGCACAGCTTGAATTCCCCACAGACCACTAACACCCACACTAACTGTAAGGATGATAATAAATGCATGATTTTAGGGTTCCAAACTGCAGAAAGCCATCCTACACAAACAATGTGCTTGTGAAAGGACACAGGAACTTGTATCAAAACTTCAGAGTTCAAAAAGGTCAGTGTAGAGATAAACATCTACCTGGAAATCCGACAGGCTTTGACAATCCATATCATTGTAATGACAGTAAAAACTGCAGGCACAAAGGATGGAACAAGACTGAACCCCATTTTCTGCCTACTAAGAGCATCACCAAGACAGACACCCTTCCCTTGGAAAAGACATCTCACCATCACCCTGCAAGACAGTCATGCTTGGGGATAATTTCTGAGCATATTGGAAACAGTCTCATCTACCCTTCTTTTCTAGAGAGAAACAGCAATTTTCAGCAGATAATTCTTAGGAAAAAAAACTTATGTTGCTGTAACATCTAGATGTCTCAGTCAGGATGAGGGACTCACTGTGGTTTAGGTACTGTATAAAAATACATGGGCAAAGAGATTATAAGCCAATTTAAGCATGGACAACAGGTGGGTGTAACAAACAGCAGGAGGAATGCAGGAAAGGTGAGAGATGAGAACAACAATTACAAGAATTAATGTCTTCATATGCTGCTATAAACCCAATCTTATATTCTGAAAAGTACAGATGGGAAGTTGTATGAGGTATGAAACTAAAAATCTGGTCTTTCACTAATTTCAGTTATTATTGCTTTACCTGAATTGCACCAAATGGGAGAAGCAAAAATCAATGATATGCAGATCAAATGTTTTATGATTGTGTATATCCAGGCTGATTCCACCAGTAACACAAATGGCAGGCTTGTTTTTTAAAATGTAAGGCCAGGTAGTGTGAGATCCTGTACTACTACTCTGTGTCCAGCTCTCCCTAAAATACTCTTGAGGTGCCTGTTTGGGTCTTTTGCTCATTTCTTACCCCACTGTATATGAATAGTATGCTTTTTAATAAATATACATGAGATTCTAGGACATATTTCACATTGGATTGTTAAGGACCAATCCCAATGACTTTTGGGATGGAGTTTGATCTGTTTGTTAATGGGATTACACAGTTTGCTTGCCTGGGATGGTAGGGGACTTCACTGGAGGAATCTGAACCCTATGTACTTCCGGCTTTATGAAATACTTGGTTTATCTGGAAAACACACTCAGCATTTACAGGGAACACACAGATATACGCTATACCCAATACAAACGAAGATACTACACAACAAGGATAAAAGCACAGTTCAGTCTCCATGCCCTGTTCGTTCCAGTTTAATGGCTGAGAAATCAGCCTCCCATTAGCTGTCTGTCAGACACCATCCCTCATGTCAACTCTATTCTTCTAAACCTGTTCTCTCCACAACATCTTTCTATGGTATATTGATCTTTGCTGATGTGAACAGAGAATACCAGTTTTATGCCAGATGAAAGCTACCAGCAGACTCTAATCTATTTATCTATGTAAATATTTACAGTTCAGTCAGCATTATGGAGTTTGAGCATTAATTCATTTCAATGACTATCATTCCGACCTGGGTTCAAACCAGCAACATTATCAGTCCCATGTCAGCCATACCTCCACAACAAGGGCCCTGGCCTTTAGAAATGTGTATAACTTCTAGAAATATTGCCTGGAATAATCAGATCTAAACAATTTTTTAGATACCATTGCTCTCACTTACACCATTGGACTGCTAGTTTGCTTGCCAGGAACATCAGATATATTTCAAGTACTGTTAGCACAAGTTAGCACAATTTCTACTAGACAAAACTGTGGAAACTGCACGTTCTCTGTCTGACGACCAGAACAGCGCACGATCATACAATACACACTGAAATGAGCCTGGTATTTCTGTGTGAACATTAACTGGACATGAGTTCTGCTTTTAATACTTAGGACTCTTTATATCCTTGCACCGCCAGCTTTCTACATGTTGATCTTCGCACCTGAGAAAAGCTATGTCACTTCTTATCTCCAAGGGGTACCACATAGGATGCAAAACATACCATTCTTCACATGTATATGCAGAGAACAGACTACATATGAGACTGTAAAACAAATTCATTTTAGGGCTCTAAGTGTTTTTCTGTAGATCATTGCTAACATTTATATCTACATAAACTTATTTTAATTTCAGAAAGAATGGAACTCTGATCTACCTTGTCTTCTACCCACATCGCTTCAGTTGAACTGTGTGAGTACAATGTCATTGCACTGTTCCTCTGTTGATTAAAGGATTGGGCCTTAGACAACTTTTCCTTACCAATTTGCCTTTTTCCATTCCACCAAATTTTATTTATTTCCTAAGTCCCTTGGAGAATTAGAAATTAACATTTTTTGCTTCCTTCCTGGCTATACATTAGAATCCTTGCTGCCTGGCTAATGAATTCAATACCCTAAGGGGAAATAACAGGCAGGATTCTGCAGTCCTTAGCAAGGATTCAGCTTGGCAGAGAGGAGACGTGCTGGGTTTGAGGTCTTTTGCCTGTTATGGTACTCTATGGTTTTGGACACATTAGTAAATTGTGACCAACCACCTGTTGGAGCCATATGCTTTAAAGCTGATTGCCAAGCAAAGGAGCTGCATACAGAATGCCATCAGTAAAGCCTCCTGTATGCCTTGTCAGGGTAAGAGAGGAAAGGAGGTTTTTTATTAAAAGGCATTTTGCAACATATAAAATGAATTAAAACGAAGCAGCAGCAAACATATTCAGAAAAGCACCTGGGAAGAGCAAGTTCTCACCACACAGAATTTTGACCCTAGGATAAGGAATATACTGTTATTATAATAATAAAATCTCTGTTAGCACTACTATCCATGTGTTTGTTGTGAAGCTGAGAGCAGAGGCGGCTGATGTGTCGATTTCAGCCTTCACCTAAGCTGTAGTAAGGCTTAAACTAAAGCTTGATTGTGTGTACTATTCAAACAGCACATCAGATCTGCTCAGCAGAAAGATGTCTGTTCTGCTCTATTCCTTCTACACCAGGAGAAACTGTTTCCAATGTTTCATTTTGTAGACATGAGGGCATGGAGGATGACAGATAAATTGACCACTAAAACCAAACCTGCAGATTAAAGATGAATAATCAAACCCCATGCTATCACTTCATACTTCCTGCAAACACTGCTGTACAGCGACCGGCTGCCAGCAGTTCTGCTGCAAACCTGAGCATATGGCTTCAAGTTGCTCTGCTCCTGTACTGATGCACAGAAATATGACACACCAGTATACAAATTACCAGTAGGGCTTTTTTCAGTCACTTCTTCTGTAGGATGAATATGAACCTCCTCCCCATGCCAGGGAAGGAGAGCATTTCATTATGGTTTATTTTAAAACACCAGTTGGATCGTTTTACTGAAAACCACTGCACTGGCGTAAATCTCCTTCCACCATCACACAAACACACTCCCCAAGACAGACTCCAAACCTAACTGTAGAGTTCATCAAACTATCCACTTGGGCTGATCAACTGTTAACAGGACAGAGTAAAGCGTCTAAAGGTCCCTTTGGGCTCCATTATTTAATGTGCCTTTTATACCATCCTCCACACTCCGTGTTATATTGCAGCAGCATTTTGCTCCAGTTGCTTGCCAACAAACATTTGCCATGGAGGAGCCCTGAGCAAGCAGTCACATCTGTGTCCACTCCTGTACCACCCATTTAGCAGAGACAATGATCACCAGAAACAACAAAGGAGCCACAGATAAAACAAACAATGCTGTGAGCCAGAGATCACTGCCATCCCAGGCAAGTTTGCCATGGAAATACTCAAGAAAAAGGGAGGGGAGGGGAGAGGAAGGGAGGGGAGGGGAGAGAGATATCAAATATAGAACTATAAAACTTACACATAGAAGAGGTTTTACCCACGTACCCACCCAACTCCACATCGGAGGAGCATTTTCTAACACATTGCTAGGATTGAGCAAGAAAGACTGAGCAGTGCACATGGGAGGCAGACAAGCATCCACCGTCTCCTCCCATTTGGAGTCAAATAGTCTCCTACGAGTCACTAGACACAAGGAATAATAATAATTGTTATTATTATAGTAATGATAGTAATAGAGAATCACCAACCTTGAGGATCCCAGTTGACCTGCTTTCTTGGAGTCTCGATTGGAAATTTCATCGCTTCCTTTTTGCACAGGGAGGAAAAAGAATTAAATAAATTCCCAACCTTCCTCTCTCAGTGCTGCAGTCAAACAAATTAATTTCAAATTATAGGGAGCCTGTGCTGCTTGACTGAGGGGAACTGGTGGTTGCCAAGGAAAGAAATACACAAATAAATCAAAGAAGGTGGGGAGGGGCGGGGAGGGGAGTGGAGTAGAGGGGTTTGTACCGGCGAGGTGAGGAGGGGTGCAGGCACCCCAGCAGAGAGAGGGGGAGGACCCCCAGCCACCCCCCGCCCCCAGGGACACCTCCCACGCTCACACACGCTCTCTAGCCTCAGCCACCCCCAAAAATGAGCCCACCTCAGTTCAGCCCCGGGGACTAAAGGGGTAACAAAAGTCAGCCGTGGGGAGTGAGCCGCAGCGGCATGGCTGGGGCGAGGCCGGGGACCACCCCGGCTGAATGCAGCAGCAGCCTGGCTCGCCGGGGAC